TGACGTAAGCGATGAAGGCCTTGAACATGAATAATCAGAAATGTAGGAGGCTAGATTCTGATTAGCAATGAAGAGTAAAGACGGCAGTAAATTGAGTTAAGTTTCATGGGAATTTAACGGTGGTGACTGACTGGGTGGCAGAAAAGTGATATAAGGAAATTTCATTGTTAAAATGCCAATAATAAAGACACCGGGGTGGGAATTACGAAAGAAGTAAAAAACTTAAGAGAATTTCCAGATTCTGTTATCTATAATCAGAAATAATGGCAATATAAGTTGACCTCATAAGTCACCACTGACTCTGGGTGTAAAAATGCACACACTCAATTGGTGTCTTTGTTTTAGAATGCCGACTTTCGAAATGCTTCCAACTTTACCTTCTAATTAAGGGGAATTAAACATCGCGAAGAAGTTGGATGATATTAATTTGCGGAATGAGGATCTTGAAATCGTGTGACACTTTAGGACGTAGCTGCGAAGTAAGAAGTTTCATTTAAAGTCGATAGCTGATTCATTAAAAGCGAGGTACCGAAATCTAAATATAAGTTTAATGACTCTATCTGAAGACTGAATTAGACTGTGGAAGAACTTGAGCCAGAAAAGGCATGAAGATTTAAAGCTTTAGAATAGGATTCATCTTTCACTAAAAAGGTGGAAGGGGCAACGCACCGCTTTGTCGTGAGGTAGAGGTTCGAAAAAGAGGATCCTAGTTCTACGAACGATTTTGTGTCAGTAGTATCCAAATCTGCCTGATGTAAAGACAGACAGATCTTGTGTTTTGGATGCGTATTAGAAATTCTATGGCTACTTTAAGCATGGCACGTGCGCAGTGGTTATTCTATCCTCTGTCCACGCGGCATGTGACCAAGGCTGCCATCTTTGTGCCTGTGCAAATTAATTAAACACACGACTCTTTAACCAGCACTTGGGCGCAATAATTCGTCATGAATCATCTTTAGGCTATTTCGAAATTGACTTAGAGAACTCGCTTATCAAGGTTTCTTGTAATGTCTTAGAGATTACTGAGTGTGCATTATTTTATGAAGGTTATGTTCACGTGCGCTTTTAAGGCAACGTATTGAAAATACCGGAACATAAATCCTGACAAAGGATTTTGAAATTCCCAAGCACTTAAGAAGTAGATTGTTAAAAAATGGCTGACATTTTGAAGTAACTTTTTCAGTACACTTTATTTTTTCCTTTTTAATCCTCGCAAAATATGAAAGTGGGATTGCGGCGAACTCTCTACAGCCGTTCAAATAAATTCGCTTTTTTTTCACTTTTTTGCCTTCTGTGCTTACGCCCATCATATAGATATTTTATAATTTGGTAGAAAGTGTTTATATGCAAATTTTCGTGCTGAACTTTGATTTGATCTTTTTTTTGATGAATTTGGTCCGCGGCGTAATTACTTGCTCCTTCACTTCTTGTGATTTCACTCGTTGCCTGCAGAGGCCTAAACCCGGTTCTGACCAACAATTTGGCTGCGAAATCGTCGGAGGCATTGCGAAATGCTTAAGTGCAGAAATAATCGGATGTTTTTCAAGGCACATGCAACTTTATCCGAAGCATTTACATGGTTTGAAATGGTTTGCTGCTCCGTATTTATTACGACTATGGTTCTGATATTGGTAAGTAACTGAAAAGTTTTGTTTCGCTGCATTTTCAGCTGCAGTAGTTATTTAATTTAGTTGAATTAAGCCGGCATTCTAAGCTATTTTTTCCAGAATTAAATATAATTTATCACCATGAAAAGTTGTTGACCAAGTCGCAGTGAATCGAAAACCAAAGTTTTGCGTAACAGCGAATTACTAAGTCATCTATTGTACCACGCAAATTACCATGAGCCATTCAGTTGTAGTTCCGTGGGTTAAACAGCGAAAGAAACTAGCGTCAACTTTCGATGAAAATTTTTCCGCCATTTTTGATACTTTAATCATCAGGCCAATGCGAGCAGATGAAAGTCGCTTGCACTTCAGCGGTGATGCTGTTGACCGGACATCTTAATCGGATTTGACGTGCGTCGTATGCACTTGCACCATTCGATATTTACACCAGCAGAGTCGATGCCAAACGAGGCTCACATGGTCTGGGTACCATGTGATGGAAATAAGACCACAATGGGGTACTGTCTAAACAAAACCAATGATTCATTCTGCCTGCGAATGGACCAATGAATGGGAAAGCTGAAATTAGTGTGTCGCTAAAGGTCTTAGCCAATCAAATGCCGCACTTTATAGACCCATGCATGTGGTTGGCTAATCTTTGCTTTAAGCACGCAAAATCTAACGGACACTATTTTACAGTGTGTTTGGTGAGACGTGAACGGACGTAAGTTCACTTTTCTGACTTCTTCATCTTTGTTATAATAAATTGCTCTCCTCCTCGGTTAGTGAATATTTTTACAGACACCGACCAAGTCAACAGTCTAACTACGATGCCTAAGGTTAAACTAAAGGGAGCCTCTGTATGTTTGACAGCTAAGACACCGCTACCCGAAATAGATTGTGCAAATGGGTGACCTAGCTGCTGCCTAAAGTTATTAGTACAGATTAATGTGCCTTTTTCAAGGGATGTATATTAGTGGGTTGGAACCCATTCATCAAAACCTATCAGTGACCTAACAGGATCAATGGCTATGATCTCTTCATGATTAATGCGTTCCGTCTTTTATTTACCCCTGGCATAGGCAGAATTGTAGGGAATTTATTTTATTAAACTGACTATCTACTTTGTATTCTACCTTGAATTATTGCAAAGCTCAATAACTGGTCTTTCCGAACAAATTGACTAATTGGAGACGAATGCCACCGTTGCATAAGCAGTTTTGGAAAAACCTTTTACCTGACCTATGAGGAATGAAAGTCACACTCAGACTGAGTCGTTCCGCTTTAACTGAATATTTGTGTAGGCTATTTAATATATATTCGAACAAGGTGTAGGACAGAGGAGACCCCTGCAAACTATTTGCATAAGGAATTAAGGGTGCCATGTTAGAACATCGCCTAAATGCGAGGCATGCTCGCAGCCACCGATAACCGCATAGTTGATTTTTCTTTAGAGCAGATACATCACATTTCAATTCCTAACATCGCTTAAGCTAGCTTCTTTGGTCTTATTGGGAAAAGCACTATCATTTGCTTATAAATTTGTATTGTTCCCTCTGTTAACCTTGTAGCATGTGAGATTTTGCAGAGGAATTGATACGTCATTAAATGCGGCCTTAATAATCATTCCTGAAACTAGAGTGTAGCTGTATTTCATGTGTTAACTGCTTGCGTCCGTTTGAAATACACATCGTGATTAGTTATCGTTGTTCTGCGAAAATCACGTCCTGCTGCATAAATCACGATATCTCATAAGCAAACAGGAACTTGTTTATTGAGATGTCACTCCTTGAAAACGCTTAAGATTCCGCATGGGAGACCTCCAAGTAACGAGTACTTTGCTAAACTTATAAGCGAACGTAAGGGTGGTTTAATGGCTTCGTTGTGATTTCCGTTTACATTTAGACGTCGCCTGTGTTCTTTTTTATTACACAAAGTCCATTTAAACAATGTAAAATTGGCAAAACAAAAGGAACGAAGACGCATTGTCAACTGCACTCTTTTGATAGTAAACCATGCTCGCTTGGTTCAGACTAGTACGTTGGCTTGGCAAGGTTGTCTGAAACTAGGATGATTCCAGTTACACCACTTTATGGTTCATTGGGTGTGGGAACAAAAAGTATCAGTGTGCACTCTTTTAATTGGATGCTATCTCCACAACACTTGTTACCGTTTGTGTTGAGTTTCAACATCTTATGCCGCTGTGATACCTGGACGCTGTTTATGGTCATCAGTTGTGGGGAAGCAAACTGTGTTATCACCTTTGCGATACCGTTGTGGCGACCATTGTGAAAGCCAACGTAACTGGCTTATGACATTTAACGGACACACATCCAAATAAAAACACGTTCCTAACATTCATAAATATGTTGATAGTATCCATCTAGAATGGGTATTTTGCCATGGTATCGGATTTAACAAACCTAAATGTCATATTTTTGGGTATTTATCTACAAATCAAAGGTCACAAAGGTCGATACCCAGTACAAATTTATTTAGTCTGTTTTTAAGGGAAATTTGTGGTTTACAAACTGGTGACTCGAATCACCTCTTTCATAACTTGTGTAGATTGCTTTAAATCCACCATCGAAGTGCACAATAAGACCTACAGTGAATCTAGCATGGCCGAAGAAACGCCTGGGCCTGAGCTTCTTGAGGCGGTCAACATTTATCTGCCACAGCTGCTTCGTAATGTGGCTATCCCTCAAATCATTTCATTTTGCAACATTGACTCGTTATGTGCTGCATGCATCTGCTTGAAAAGGGGCTTTGGCTAATCCACGTTATTTGTCAGATGCTCGTCTTCTGAGGCCATAAAGTACATGCGACTAAAATTAAAGGAGAAATTTCAGACAGACGTGTGTGTTTGAGTACATTTGGATAACATTTTCTTAGTTCAGAATCTTGCATATTGCATCCCAGAAATTTTATTTAATCAGTTTTTATAGCGCTTATATCTAGGCCAATACAAAGATCGAAAGACTCCTTTGTGCTTTTTTTTCTTTTTTTGCATCATCTTGAATTCAACTATTTACCTGATTAAAATTTTTAATTGTTAATATCGATTGCCTGCCAGATTTCAAACAAGCATTTTTTGCGTGAATTTCCACCCTCCTTTTAACTATGAAGTTTTGTGATTCTGATACTTTATAAAGTTTATATATAATCATTGGAAAAGCAAGTTGCATCTCACTGCTACGCGTACATTTCCATGACGATTCACTTACAAGTGCTTGGAAACATTTACTTGGTGGGATTGCTTTTCATTGCCAATACTCCGGTTGTCCAAGTTAACTTCCTGTGCTTCACTGGGTACCTCAAGACATGTGTCTACAATTTTCACAGTTTTAGGTAAAAAGCAACAACTAATTTGGCAGAACACGAAACACCGGGATGTCCTCGAAACAATCGTCTTCGACACTGTCTCCGCCGCCGCCACTGCAGCAACCTCAAACACAACTGCCTAAACCCATAGCGGGGACCGCGAGGTTGCCCTCTGTCTCAACGAGACCACCACGCATTTCTGTCACTTCCACCTCCAACGTCTTCCGCAGCCTCTCCACAATCCATAGATCGACTTCTGTCCTTCCTGCGTCCCTCCTGGACCTTGATGTGGCATCAACCGCGGGTCTTCAGGTAAGACCTCGTAAAGTCTACACTATCCTAAGAGTGCTCATTCTCTAAATGAGGAAATAATGTATATTAAAGGACCTACATGCAGCATTTTGCCTTTCAAAGCAATCCACTTGGTTGCCAGGGTTCTGTGTAATGACGAGGCCACGTAAACGCGGAACTGAAGCTAAAATCGAATTTTTAGCGAGTTTATGGCAACGCGGGTTCACAATCACATCTTGTTTAGATGAAATCAGACATAGTGCAAATAAACAAAGTGTCATTGAAGGCACGCAACATGTTGCAGTTACTGCATGTAATAAGTTGAATATGGCTGTTTTCACACATAGCCGATTCTTGACAGTATATTTTGACCATCGGTATTGTAAATTGCAAGACACTGATATGACAAAAGTGGTTCGGTTTCATCCAGTTTTGGTTGTATTTTGAATGTTTTCGTGAGGTGACCTGTTTCTGCTAATCGTAATGGTCGATTTTGACCTAAACGATAAAAGGAGCATACCAGACGTATCCTCACGAAGTAATTGAAAGAAATGCTGAGTTGATGAATCACTCACAGACCAAATTTATCAAGTGCAAAGGAACATGGAAAATTAGTCAATTCAACGATTTCAAGATCAAGGTATTGTTGATGATGAGAATCCGAAAGAAAGAGGACATCAAACGTTATTTAACAACTACAAAATTAGATGTCTTGAGCTTTAACCTTGACATGAAGTTGCTATTAAGATGCGTATGTTGAATCTATCGCCGTGACTACTATTTTGTGGTTAACTGGTATTGGCACAGCCGATTAGATAGGTTTTTTCGTGAATTCGCATAAAATATGTCAAGTTCCACAGAAAGCGTTAGCTGATGCCGTCATTGCGTTCACTGACATTTAGATATTCAAGTGGGTTAACGCGGACATCGGGACGCGAAGATGATCCATTTAGAAGGTGGTGGATTCTCGTGCGATATTCTTTCGTTAAATATTAGAGGTAGGAGTCAAATGTTAGTGTGTATAAGCTGCTAAAGTTCATTATATTAGTGAGGCGAGGTCGCCAATATTTGACTTAGGTGCTTGCATTTCGGTCTCACTACAGAAGGCCAAATGTAACTACTGGGATTTGGTTAAGTCTAGAAGGCCTACAAGTAAATGTAAACGCCTACAAGTCGATGAAGATCGTTGCTATTCAGTTTTTACACAGAAGAGGCTAGTTCTGGACATATGATGCTTACATTACGACAAACTCTTGATGCAAGAGGAGTTCAGTCGATTTTAAATTCTTACAACTTTGTTTCGGTCTCGCCGATCCTGAAGGCATGGTCTAGGTAATAATATTTTGGGTCAGTCGTTTCGTCAGTTCAAATCTTCTTGAAGGCCACTTAAAACTAAGCAGTCGCGCATATTGGCAGACCTAGTTAGTATTCCTCGGTCACTTTTGGAAACAAAGGTCGA